CTCTACAGCAGCCTCGGGGCAAAGAGGAGGCGCCACTGGTCTCTTCCCGCCTTTCTTCGCCCCAACAATCTCCATTCTTCCCTGGGGGGGACAGTTTTGGGACTCGTCTCAGGGGACCAAATGTCTTGGGCCGGCCCTGCTGACCCCCCTGCAGGAGTAAGTCTGGCCAAGGTGGCTGGGACGTCAGCTCAGGCAGATGCAACCCAGGGAGGATTTCACCCTGAAGCCTGTGCCCCCCTTTCATCTTTGCCTCCTTCTGAACCTGCCCCTGGGAATTCGGCTGGTGTTTCTCTCCCTCCTCCATAAGGAAAGCCCTGAGCACTAGCATTCCCTGGGCGGTTGCCAAATGATGAGGGGTAAGCACTCTGCACATGCCTGGGAGTAAACCATCTACCAGCTCCTGTTAGATTCCCTTAGGTGAGAGAAAGGGTTTCTAGAGTGATAGCCCAGTAGGTGCCTCCAGAACTCATTGGAGGAAGAGTAAATGGTGACCGCCACAGCACTGTCGAAAACGAGGTCACAGATATCATTCAGTGGGTCTGTGCTAATTTAAGGTAATATTCATCCTGATATTTGGAAGTATGGTTGATTCCCACCCCCCTCAATTTTATTATTTTATCTGTTTGTAAATCACGTTGCAGTTTTTTGTTTTACAATCAAGTGGTGTATACATTTAATGAAATAAATAAACAAATGGCCAAAGGCAACTTAAAAACAATTACTGTAGTTTAAATAGAAATATAATACTTCTCACCGTATTTTGGTGACCTGAATGCCTGCTTAGTCTGCTGTCCAAATGCTGACTGTTGGTGGGCATTTGTTTGAAAACTGCAGCTAGACTATAAAGCCCTTCCAAGAATGGTGTGTCTGCTATGTCTCTGTTCCAGCACTCTTTTGTTTAATCAAATTTCCACTATACTTTTCTTCAACAAGGCTACACTTTCTGAAAAACAACCTATTCACAATAGGCTTCAGAAACCACAAAGTTACTGTCTAACAAGCTGCAGATTAACACACTCACACACATTAATTAATTACAGATTGTTCTAAAGAGCACCCACATTGAAGTATGATTTCTGGTAAAATATCTTATGGTGAAAAGAATTTTTAGGTAAACAATGCATGGAAGAGTTATGGGTATTTGAAGAGCTTAGATGGTTATTTAAAGATTGCTCTTTCAAAATATACATTGAGCTTTTGAAGGAAATGTCAAGACACAACTCCAGTTTTTCTGATATCTGCAGGCTTAACACATTGCCCACAGTCAAATTGGACTTATTTGAGTAATATAATAATTTTAATATTTGAAACGGAAATGAGATGAAGTGGGTGTCGATCAGGGAGAGAGAGCTTTATTGGCAGTAGGATCCCAGCTATGGAACAGCCGCCTCAGTGAGTCTTTCCTTTCCAGTGAGTCTTTATCTTGTCTATATCATCTAGTGAAGACCTTTTGGTTCACCCACATGGTTTAATTCTTTATTGAAGCTTGGGTGTTTTATGCTCTCTGTGATGCCATCCATATAAGTTGCAAAAGATGTTTTTGGTTCTCTTTTATTTTTGGCGAAGGCAAAGTGCAAGGGGGAAAAGTTCAATGATTTTAGGATTGTAGCTTTCAAAAGTGTAGATTAGTGGGAGAGAAATTTTTCTCTATCCACTTTCTCCATGCAATGCAAAATTTTATAAATTTCTGTCATGCCACTTCTTATCCAGCTTTACTCTAAACTAAATAATCCCTAATGCTCCAACCTTTCCTCATTGTTCCATCCACTTTTTCACTCTGCCGGCCCTTTTCTGAATTATCTGAACTGGAGATCTGTGATAACGCATCACATGCTTGTATGCATAGGGTGGGATGGGGGGCGCAACTAATCCCTTCCCCACTCCCCACTCCAGTCCTAATTGCTTTCTAAATTGCTGTTTCCTTCGCACGGCAGTGGTGGGAAGAAGATGCGAAGAACGCTGGGTGTTTTACAGTACATCACAAAGGATTGCTGACCTCCCCTCCCGTGTTTATAAACACAATAACCGCAAAATAATCCCCCTCCCCCTCTACTACAAATAGTTCTGAATCTCTACTCCCCTCCCCTCCCCTCGATTGCTATTTTAAAACCCAACAGCAGATGACTATTACATTCTCCCAACATCAGTCCCAAGCAGTGACAGACCCACATTTTGGGGGCCCTGAAGTTGAGCTGTTCTGGGGGCCCCTTCACAACTAGCAATGAGTTCTGGGTAACCACTGTTGTCATCTTCAATGGGGTTGTTACCTGACAGATCACCACATTTAAAAAATCAGATTTTGATTAGAATTTCTGTTCTGGGTTGTCACACGTCTCAAAGTCACTGGTGTGAATAAAAATGTTTGAGAATGTGGATTAATTCTGGTCTGCGGCCCCTCTGGGATTTGGCTCCCAGAATCTTAAGATTAATTGGTTTCATAGGAGATCTGCGCTTGCGTATCCAATGCACTGTTTTTAAAATAACGTAAGCTTTTCTCTAGCGTAAAATGAACGCAAATTTAATCGTCCATTAATAAAATATAGTTTGCTTACTCAGCTTAGATTTCTTTCTTCGGTTGCCACCGCCGTTATGTTTGCCGTCTTATTCGCATTTGATGCGATTCCTGGCCGTTGCCACTGCCTCCATCCAAGGCGATGTACAAATCTATTTAGACGAGAGGGGATGCTATGAGGGGTATTGGAATTAAGTTGCTCCAAGCTTCTTTGTCCATATGAAATAATTTATACTTGCTTCTTTTTAGAACAACAACAAAAACTTTTTAAAAAGGAGAGTATCTTTGTCCAGGGCACAGCCTGACTCCCTCCTCTGGCAATCTTCGCGGAGCTCTGGCCCAATGGTTGCCATTGGTTTGATTTGAATTAATTTTATAATGAATGATTTTAGAGTGTTGTGTTCTGTTGTACTGTTTTATTGTTGTTAGCCACCCTGAGCCCGGCTTCGGCTGGGGAGGGCGGGATATAAATAAAATTTATTATTATTTTATTATTATCCATTTAAGATAGGAAGTATGTGCTACCTGGTAAAGGGGGGGTGCGTGTTCTTTGGTTGGACCGCAAGTGTGATTTTTGTACGATGCAGGTGTGGGACACCCCACTTTATTCAGTTCTGGGGTAGTTACTTGCACTGGCTTGGCAAAGAAAACGTGTAGCAGGCTCAGGAAGGTTCCCTCTCTCTCTCCCCTCACTTCTGAATTCTCTTCTCTTCAGCTGCCTGCACTGGATAATGCTCCAAGTCGAAACGTGCCAACAGCGAAATATGAAGCACATCAACGCCGGTTTTTAAAATGTATTTTATTGCTTTTTCACATGCAATGAATACCATTTAAAATGCAATAAAAGACATCAGCTAGGCTGTCGTTTCTTGGAATCAACAGTTTAAAGTTGGAGCCACTGCTTAAAAGCAAGGGCTAAGGACGAAATCACAGACTAAAGTAGGTCAAAGTCAATTGGCGGCCGAAGAGTCAACTGCCAAAGGGGTGGCGAGCGAGGGAGGGAGGGGATTGACTCAGTTTAGCAAAACGACGGAAGAAAAGGTGACTCCCTCTTATCGGCTGAGAAGTAAGGGTGGGGTTCGCCCACCGGAGATAAATGCCCAGACCGAAGCCCCAGCAGAATAGCAGAGTGAACCTGAGAGAATTAGTCTCCATTTTTAAGGCAAAACCAATTCAGGAGAGAGCGAGAAAGAGTTTTTTCATGATGGCAGCCAACAACGAAGGTAACAGAAACTTTAAAAAAAATGATTATTAATTCACTGTCTATAAACAACAACAACAACATTGCTCTAATTATTTATAGGGGAATGAGTAGGAAGGAAGATGATTTCTGTTTCATCTGGGTCAGGATCCCGGCGTAGGGCAGGCTTTCAAAGATCCATTTGTGGTAGTCGGGGAGAGATTAAACATGTCTCACTATTTCCTGGGAAGAAGCCCAGACAAGACTGCTTTGCACACCTTTATTCGTAAACACGAAGCATTTAGTGTGGGATGTAAACACAGGAGCAGTCAATGACAACATTCCTAGAGTGTACATGTTAGAACATGGGGTGGGATGTCAGTCCAGCAAGCAGGTAAACTTCCTGGGGACGGACTTCCTCTGCATGTGACCAGAGGTGGGTGTGGCCTCACCTGTGCAGGTAATGACAAAAGCACAGCGCAGGCAGCCATCTCTCTCTCTCTGCCATTTTCTTTCGATGAGGAAACATCCAAGGATGCCCTCTTGGCTCCCAGCCAAGAGAGGAGATAAGGAGTATCTTGCTACAAGATAGATTCTAAATGTATGTAACCTTTTTAAGTTGTCTGCCTTCTGGGATCATATTGTGAACAGAACGTGAGTAAACTCTTTTATACCTTTATAAAGACTGTGTCATGTCTTGTATTTTAAGAGGGAACAAAGGGGAAATTACCAGAGTAATTATTATAGAGGTTCTAGCGAACCTGTGCACACGTTACCGTTGCGAACTTAAAGGGGAATGTCTATAAACTCTGCTGATATTTTGGGAACTTGTTAGCACAAGTTGGATTAGGATATAATCTCACAATATATCCTCTCCTGCACCCCTGAACATTCCCACATTTAGTGCGTGGAAAGTGCGATCCTATACAGGACACACTTTCCTGAACGTTAAATCCTTTTCAAATAAACGGCGATTTAATTTCCCAATAAACGTGGTTAGGATCGGCTGCGGAAAACGAAGGCAGGCATAGAAATAAGAGCGTAAACTTCTTACTGAAAATTCTTTGGTTTGTTTTCATTCAAGCCTTGTTCAGAGCAACCGGAGGTTTATTTAAAGGCCACAAAGTGCGTGGATTTCAATGTCAGGTACAAAAGCCTTCCTGTAAAAAGCGAAGGCTTTGCCCTTCTGCGCTCTGCCGGGTGGGTGGTCAGCGGGGCGGTTGAAAGAATTGCCACTGAAGCCGGGGGTCGTTTTACGCAGTGTAACCTCAGGCTGCGCCCGATTCTGGGGGACTTGCTCCCGGGCAAATGCAGGCGATGCAGCCCCGAGCTTTCCATGTTGGGAGGAAGATCTGCAAGCGTCGCTTCAGTTTAAGCCGAGCGCTTCCTTCAGATTTGCCTCATTGTCCTTTCCCAGGAGGAAGCTTCCCCAAAGTCGGAGGAGAAAGGCGAAAAAGGACTGTTTTTAGCCCATCTCACGTCAAGCTCGTAAAAAAGTCGTTTGAAGAGAACCCGTACCCCGGATACGAGACTAGGGAGTCGCTGGCGAGGTGCATCGGAATCGAAGAAGATCGTGTGCACGTAAGAAGAGGGATAGTGGGGGTTCCTGGGACTTCCTTAAACCGCAAATACCGGATAAATTTAAATCGCTCAGAATAATTCTTTCATTGTCATTCAAATGCCTTAGCTCTCCCTGGTGCCTCCAAGCTTAACGTGAAAGGTGCCTTATTCAAGAGGCAGCTTCCCTTTTCCTGGGTTTTTGTGGGGTTTTATGGGGGGCTGCTGTACCGTGGATGTAAAGGCTTTTGTAAGGGGTGGGTGCGTTGTGTCCCCTCCTTTTCAACTGTAGGAAGAAATTGTGCCCATACTTGTTCAGAAATCCTGGTTCCTGATTAAGGCTTCCTTTTCCTTCCCACTCAAATTATTGGAGGCACATACTTTCAAATATCAAAGGTTCTGGGTTTGAACAGTAAAAACTCTTAACAGACCTGGTTTCAACTCTAATTTGAGGCTAAAACCATCTGGTTTTCTGGGCCGCCTTTATAGCCTGATCCACCTGGCTGAACTCCCAAGGAGTGTGCATAGGATACTCCTATTAGGATTGCAGCATTCAGCACCTTGCATTGAGAGATCAAATGTGCATCATTCAGCTGGAACCACAGTTAAGCAACATTGCTTTTCTAGCCAATGCCCCACAAGTCCCTAGTTCTCCCACACTGAAAAAATTACACTACACGAGGCACAAATATTCGGTGGTCCTCTGAGCTAGAAAGTGAAATTATGACCTATCCATTTGGAAATAATGGGCATTTTGTTCTCTCCTTTCTTTTGTTCAGACCTGGTTTCAGAACAGAAGAGCGAGAACAAAGGTGACTGGTTCCAAAATAATGATCAGGAACCAAGCTACAACTCCTTATAGCCGCTCTGACAGAAGAAGAAGTCCATTAAACAACCCAGGGAGCAGCCCAAAAAGCAGCCATGCAGCTTCCATTATCCCGAAAGCTTTTGTTCAGACCTGGTTTCAGAACTGAAGAGCGAGAACAAAGGTGACTGGGTCCAAAACAATGATCAGGAACTGAGCTACAACTCCTTATAACCGCTCTGACAGAAGAAGTCCAAGCACTCCGAGAAGCAGCGCAAGAAGTCTGACGCAGCAATAATACCAGCCACGCAGCTTCCATTATCCCAAAAGCTATGGAGGAGCAGGGTTCTGGCAGCCGCCTCTCAGCACCACGCAACCAGGAGAGCCCGTCTATGCCGCACAGCAGCAGAACTCCCAGGAATTGAACCCGGTTCATTACCAGCCAGCTGCTGTTGGTGGAACTGGGCTTTGTGAGACTTCCCAGGAAAGGAACTGCCCAGTTCCATATTATGGTGCAGAGATGATGAGGCAGCCTCCACTATCGAATGGTAACTTCTGCACTCCATCAAGCAGTAAAACTCCCTGGTCTGCAATGGGGAACAGTCACGCAATGGGGATTTATCCAGCTGCATATCCCGTGCAAATGTTGCCTGAAGATTGGCAGCAAAATTGGCAGCAAAATTGGCAGCAAAGCAATATTTCCCTTCTCCCGACGCCTTCAGGGGTTACCCATGCATATAAATCCCCCCCTAACTTTTAAATTCTGTATATTTTAAAGTTTTTCAATAAAGTTTGATATTTTAATGCCTTTGTCTGGGATCATCATCTGGCTTTCCTTTTACTGAAGCATTCTCTTCCCTTTGCCCAAGCAAGCTAAAAGCACTTGTATATAGAAATCAGAAATAAAAGCTGAACAATTGGCCACTTGTTCAAATAAGGGCCACAGTCAAAATCTGGGGTTGGAACAATTGGGGAAATGTTTCAAAAGTTTCCAATTTTGCTTTTGTTTTTGTTGGGTTGATGTGGGTTAAATGTTTAGTTGGGGTTGGCGGTTATTTTAATTTGGGTATAAGTATAAACTGTTCATTATTGCTATTATTATTATTTATTATTACTATTGGTTTCTTGGGTTGCTATTTATTTGTTTTGTTTTTAAATGTTTGATGCATTGTGTTGTAAGCACAATGTATTTTTGTACTCTTTGCAGAAAACAATAAAGCATATATGGATATAGATATATACGTGTGTTTTTGTGCATGTGATTCTATGGGGATGGATTTTTCTGAGCCCTGCCTGTCTGCCATGCTACATAATGCACTCCCTTTTTGAAATGTTGCCTGAATACAGAAAGGGGTTGGTTTTGCTGGATCCCCTCTCTGCTTTTACGTGCAACTTCCACGAAGGAAGAGTTCACCCAAACCAAAATCCTCAGTAGCTTGATGATGTGACTCAGACATTGGGTTAAATCATGGAATTCAAAAGGTTAAATGAGGAGGCTATTGGAGAGTATTGGCAATGCCTTACATGATTCCAATCTGTTTATAATGCTACACATTATCACTTCATCATTCAGTATTTCCTCTTGTCCCTAATCTTAAACCAAGCTAATCCTTGCTGAGCTACTGACAACCAGACAAGGGACCAATTTTGCTTATGCGGTTCAGGATTTGCTTTCCAGCCAAATGGTTCTGAAACCGGATTTCAATTCCACGAGCTTATTTCTCTATTTATATCCCACCCAGGGCGCCCACTTGAATAGAACATTGGGCGGGGGGGGGGGGGGGCAAGAGACATGGGCCCAAGAGTTGGCTCCTAGGACCCCACCTTTTTCCCCCTGGGACCTTGAGGCGGCCCACCTCCTTCTTCCCTCTCAGCCCCCGACACCCCCGTGAGGGAGACCAGCCAGAGAGGTGGCGACTGACGCAAAGGCACCCGAGTGAGCTTCGGGGCTGGTAGTAGGGTGTGTGTGTGTGTATAGGGATTGTGCTGTGTGGTTGTGTGTGTGTGTGTGTGTGTGTGCGCGCAGGGATTTGAACCCTTCCTGCCTCAGGCCAACACGCAGATACGCCGCCAAATATATACATGCCTGAGGGAAGATGCGCCGCCGCGCCCTGTGGTGGCGCCTGGGGACCGGCTGCGAGATAACTCTTAAGGGCTTCCCTCTCGACATTGTCTTGCCAGCTATAAAGAGACTCCTGCTGCGGTGAGGCCTCGGACCATCGGCTGGGTGAGGACTGCAGGGCCTGCTCCCTTCCAGGGCCTTCTCCAACTGGCCCAGGGGGCGTGGCCCAGGCCCTTATTTGGAACAAACTTTTGGGGAAGCTGGGAAGTGTTCTGCAATTGCTTCCCTGTTCCAAGTGGCTAATGTGTTTTAAAATGTCCTCAAGCAGTCGGTGGCAATTTAAATTTGTATTTCTTTTTTTCCTTTTTTCCTTTGTTGGGGGTGGGTGGGTGGGATGCATATTTGGTTGGGGATTAATTTTAGTATAATTGTTCTGTTTTTGTTTTCTGTTGTTTTATTGGTTCTGTATAGTTTGTGTTTTGTTTTTATGGGCGGGGATCAGGGCTGCCTGGGAGTGGGGCCCCAGCCAACACGATGGCTGGGACAAGTTCCACAGGGGAAAGCACTGGGACATCCGATCTCGGTGATCATGGGCAGGAGGAGGAGTTACGCTAAGACCAGACCATGTCATTACCGAGGAGGCAGGTTTAGTCGTTGTTTGAAGACTATCCCTGCCTCCGGGTCTGGCCTTGACCGGATGGATACTGGAATCAACAGGGAAACCCACATGACCTGAAGGTGTTGCTGTGTAATGCCAGGTCAATGATGAATAAAACCACTGCCATCCACGACTTGATTGTGGATGGAGGATTTGACCTGGCATGTGTGACAGAGACCTGGTTGGAGGAAGCAGATGGGCCTGTCCTTGCTGCTGCTTGCCCACCAGGTTTCTCTTACGCACAGCAACCCAGGTCATGTGGGCGGGGAGGGGGGGTTGCAGTGATTTTTAGGAAGTCATTAGTTTGCATCAGGCGTCCTACTGGGAAGACCCAGTTTTCTGAGTGCATGTTCTGGAAGTTGGGCAATAGGGGCAGTACAGGATTCCTTTTGGTGTACCGACCTCCCCGCTGCACCAAGGATTCCCTGTCCGAGCTGCTTCAGGTCGTGGCGGATGTTCTCCTGGAGACACCTAGTTTGGTTGTCCTAGGGGATTTTAACATCCACGCCGACACGACCTTACAAGGGGCCGCTCGGGACTTCGTGGAAAGCATGGCCTCCATGGGGCTGTCCCTGAATAAGTTGGGCCCAACTCATAGTCATGGACATGCCTTAGACCTGGTATTCACCTCTAGTGACGTGGGTGATCTGACACTAAGTAAAAGTGAAACCAAAGAAGTGCCATGGTCAGATCACTTCCTGGTGCAACTGGACTTCTCCGCGACCCTTCCCCTCTGCAGGGAGGTGGGACCAATTCGGATGGTCCGCCCCGCCACTTAATGGATCCAAATGGTTTCCAGAGAGTGGTAGGGGATGCTTTATCCCATGTTGATGGCCTTTCAGCTGATTCCCTGGTGGCCCGCTGGAATGCGGAGTTAACCAGGGCTATCGACTGTCTGGCTCCGAGCGCCCTCTCCGATTGCATGGAGCCCGGACAGCCCCATGGTTTTCTTCGGAGCTGAGGGCGATGAAACAATCGCTGAGACGGCTAGAGCGTCGGTGGCAGAAAACTCACTCCGAATCTGACCGGACACAGGTTAGAGCTCAACGTCGAGCCTACCAAGTGGCGATAGCGACGGCGAAGAAGACTTTCTTCACCGCCTCTATTGCATCTGCAGAAAATAGTAGCAGGAGACTCTTTCAGGTGGTCCGCAATTTAACGGAACCACCTTTACCATCGGGGCCTTGTAAAGACCCCAAGATCTCCTGCAACGATTTTGCAAAGTTTTTTGCGGATAAAATCACTCATATTCGGAAGGAGCTAGACACCACCGTGGAAGCAGGGCTGGGGCGGGAGAGTGCTAGAGCCCTGTCTGGTCAAGTTGCATGGAATCAATTTCAATCCGTTACCCCGAGGATGTGGACAGGCTGCTTGGACGCGTGACACCACCCCCCTTGCTCCTTGATCCTTGCACATCCTGGCTAATAAAAGCAAGCTGGGAAGGGCTGGGCGATGGGCTCTGCGGGGTGGTGAATGCTTCCCTCTGTGAGGGAACATTCCCAGATCCGCTGAAAGAGGCGGTCATTAAACCGCTTCTTAAAAAACCATCTTTAGACCCGGCCAGTATGGCCAACTATTGCCCAGTCTCAAATCTTCCATTCTTGGGCAAGGTGATTGAGCATGTGGTTGCTGAACAACTCCAGGCATGCCTGGAGGATGCGGACCATTTGTATCCCTTCCAATCAGGGTTCAGGCCTCATCATGGGACTGAAACTGCCTTGGTCGCACTGGTTGATGATCTCCAGCGAGCTAGGGACAAAGGTGAGAGTTGTTTCCTAGTTCTGCTGGATCTCTCAGCGGCCTTTGATACAATCGACCATAACATCCTTCTGGACCGTCTAGAGGGGTTGGGAGCTGGGGGCACTGTTATACAGTGGTTTCGCTCCTTCCTCCTGGGCCGTGTTCAGAAAGTGGTGGTGGGGATGAGTGTTCAGACCATTGGGCCCTCACTTGTGGGGTGCCTCAGGGTTCCGTCCTCTCCCCATGCTTTTTAACATCTATATGAAGCCGCTGGGAGAGATCATCAGGGGTTTGGACTGGGTGTCCATCAATATGCAGATGATACCCAGCTCTACCTCTCTTTCAAATCAGAACCAGTGAAGGCGGTGAAGGTCCTGTGTGAGTGCCTGGAGGCGGTTGGAGGATGGATGGCGGCTAATGGATTGAAGTTGAATCCTGACAAGACAGAAATACTGTTTTGGGGGGACGGGGCGGGCTGGTGTGGAGGACTCCCTGGTCCTGAATAGGGTAACTGTGCCCCTGAAGGACCAGGTGCGCAGCCTGGGAGTCATTTTGGACTCACAGCTGTCCATGGAGGCGCAGGTCAATTCTGTATCCAGGGCAGCTGTCTACCAACTCCACCTGGTATGCAGGCTGAGACCCTACCTGCCCGCGGACTGTCTCGCCAGAGTGGTGCATGCTCTAGTTATCTCCCGCTTGGACTACTGCA